TTTCTCTTAAACAAAGGATAATTTTGCAGAGTTTTCACTTTTCTGGGTACTTTATTCCAAATAGCAATTTCGTTCAGAGTAAAGAACCGACGATATTTAGCGCAACGTGCCAGAGAAAGAAATGAAAAGACCTCATGGTGACTGTTACCTCGGGAGTGGACTAAATGTCTTACATTAGTAAGTGGGTTAAAGGTACGATTATATAAAAGCTTAAATAGTAAAAATAGTCCCTTTTTAAATCTACGAAATCACAATGGATCCGTTATACTGCCACATGCAGGCCGATCTTCTCTGCATTTTTGTCTTCTCATGAGCGACAGTTTTATCTTATGTAAAGTCAATCCAATTTTTCATCCTTAATTGAAGTTTTGTTACTGCCAGCTCATCATTTTTCTCAACGGACTACTAATTAGTAAACTATTAATTGCATATTGTACAGATTCTGCCTAACTCGACTAAAATACATATGAAAATTTATTTTGCTAGCTTTGAAATGACCCCAATGGGTCTTTAATAAAAGTGTCTTATTTTATTTGTTTATTTCTCACAAACTTTATTCTTCGGCCGTTTTGGAATTTTGCTCTTTGCCATTGTCTTGTGAATTCTAGCGCTGTTGACCGCACATTGCCCATCATTGTTCTCCTCCGCTAGCTGCCGTAAAGCAGTCAGCTCGCTTTCGAGTTTTCGAACCTACAGCAGGCTATAGGAGCATCCAACGCAAGACTCGTCTTCGTATCCAACGGACTTTCCTGTGTTGATGCCGCATTTTTTGACTTCAAAAAGGCCTTTGGTAGCGTGCAACACAACCTTCTTTACAGAAGATTCGAGATGTGAGAAGTTACGGAGGAGTGTTTAAATGGAGCAGAGGTTTTCTGTTCTCAAGAACAAAGAGAGTCGTTGTTGGTAATTCTACCCCGGAATGGGTGAAAGTGGAATGTTATGTCCCACAGCATTCTGCTTTAGGCCCTTTACTCTTTCTGATTTATTTAACTGATTTCACCAGTGAACTAGACTGCAAAGCTATCATTTTCGCAAATCACATTAAAATATGGTGTCACTTTAAGGGCGTTAATGACGCAAAGAAGTTGCAATGGAACATCGACAGACGGAGCGTTTGGTCAAACAGATGGCTTTTGAAGTTTAATGTGTCCAAATTCGTGGTCCTGCACCTAAAAGTCGGCCGAAATGCCTCTCCCATACATCAGTGCTTTATTAACGAGACAACATTAAAAAGTGTAGAAAGACAGAGCTTTGGGTGTACGGACGACCACAAATCTAATGTCGTCAGTAGGAAGATCCCTGCCGGCACATGGCCCCTTCATAGGTGGGGCTGGGTGCGGCCAGAGCCCCCTCTGGATTGAAATATTTGAAGCGTATTTGCATTGAAAGTTATGTTTCAAAAGCACCACTCACTGTACCTTCTTTGGCATAAAAAGTAGCTAATTTCTCAAAAGTGGCTTATAAATCATGGAAAAAGCATCCGTTTAAGCCCACGGGTCGCGGATAATATCGTGTGTCAACCAATGCTATTTTCATGCTCTTAATAGCTGTCTTAGTTAATTTATGTATCTTATGCTAATTGTTTGGGTATTTACTCACAAACCAGTTCAAGTAGTTGACTTGTATGTCTATGTATGTACTAGTTAGCATTGGTGTTCATGGTCCACTTATACGAATTTTTTGTCCTTTTTTACTGAATATCCAAAGCAATTATGAGGCGTAATTACTGTGGCTCTCATCGAACCACCATTTACAAGCGCATGAAGCACCAGATGAAGGCATATTCTGAGGCCACTGAAGAGCCTGAGTCTGAGGTTCCCTCAACGTCGGCAGCTTTTGGCAATCAATCCCCTGGACGAGAAATGCCTATTCTGAGCTCTGAAGCTTCTGCCGGCAGGTATTATGTGTGTGCGCCTCAGAGGACTCATCATACAGGTCGATATTTTTAAGGAGTGCCAAAAGTGGGCGGAAGTCTGTCGTCCCCCGCGCACTTTTTTCGCTGGTGGGGCCAGGCGGGACTATCGCGTTGAATTCGCCGCCACAGCCCCTTCTACAGCCCCGCCTAGCCCCTTCATAGCCCCCTCTAGCCCCGCCATATTTGAGGGGGTTACGCGGGGCTGGTGCTGGCAGGGTTAATTATAGGTTGACCAGGCCCAAAGGCTAGTTGGTCCCCTCAACAAATGGCCATTTTGCGCTAATAAAGTTGATCCTCTGCTGTTTCCACGTACCTGTGAAGGTTTATTCGCTGGTGGGGCCAGGCAGGGCTGTCGTGTTGAATGCCCCACCAAATCCCCTTCCACAGCTCCGCCTAGGCCCTAGGGCGCCTAGGGCTAGGCGGGGCTGGTGCTGGCAGGGATGGTACAGAAGGCAACTAGTGCTTTACACGGGATCAGACGAACTGAACAATGGTACTTACGCAGAATTCTTTCGTTGTCACCTTCCTCGAGACGACAAAGTCATTTTATGCCAATTAGGAGAGGGTAGTTACTACGGAAAGTTTGCCACTGAGTGGAAGCAATTTTCTAGCATGTGCAACTCTAAATCCCAAACCACAATTCGGTTGATACAAGTAGGAACCCTCCATGACAAACAAGTAATTCGGAATGTTTCGCAGTATGACCGAATAATTGTGTTTCATTCGTCCTTCTGTTTCTAAACGTACTATTACAATAAGTTAAAAAAATTGCTCGGTAACTGTGACTTTATCGTCTCAAATCGAGGAACATCGAAGACAACTCCAGGCTGCTATTCTTTTTAGAAATCGGCCGTATTATGATTTTACAGATGTCGCTAATCTCTTGCACGTATCAATATCACAGCAGTACAAGGTTTTCAGTCATGCCTACACTAGGCTCTCGCAGCAATGCACCCCCGAATCGGCCTGTCTACTTTGACGATGACCGGTAAAACCCGTGAATAGACCACGGTTTTTGATCATGACTGTCGGATCAGCCTTTAATGGAGGAGCATTTTACCATAAAGTTTGCACCTACCGGCTAGTAAGCCAAAAATAGCCATTCCAGTCTCCGTTGTCTCTGTCGGTGTAAACATTCTGCCTATATCATGCGCCGCTGTGCGGCTGCTGGTTGAGCTTGAGAGAGGGCCCGTAAGGCACAACGGGACGGGTGTGTTCCGTAAGAACGATCGGTGTGCGCCTCTCTAACAAAGGCTTCAATGTTGGTTTGTGTATATGTGTTACTATTTCAGACGAAGTGTTCTAGTTATAACTAACTATTGGAGAGAAGGTACAGCATCGTTAAGAAGAATTCCAATAGAATTTATTAGCTTGTCCTTCCATTTCTGATGAAAACAGTTTGCCGATATGGGATCGTTTAGCAATTGTAATCTGCCTGATCTCCCTGGTTTTATGTCATACACACTGTTTGTTTGGCTTATTTTCAAAAACTGTCCATAATACAGCGCGGGAAAAATAATTATCGACGACTTAAGAAAGCCAGTTATACATAGAATCGGCCCAACTAAACACGATGACTTCGGGAGAGTAACAAAGTTACTCTCGCTTGAAAACCAGCACCGCCATATTTTTCGCCGTCCCCACATGCCATCCACGGATCCGATACTAAGGACGCTGGAAGGCACGTTACTAATACGTTGACAAGGCAACTGTAGGATGTAGGACCCCAATTAACTTGAGGTAGCCTGTGGACCGTTTTGTGTACAACAGTTACACAGTATTCAATACCGTTACTTTTTCTTGAATTCCTGACTGAGTGGAAACATACCAGCGGCAGTTAGTCCACATAGCGTTTATTTTTAGAACTTGCCTTTTGTTTATTTTTATAATTATCGTACTAACTTCCATTGCTATATGACAGCGTAAGGTGAGACCTACCTTTGACCCTACTGTTGCCATTTACAATTTATCAGACGGCAACGATCGGGTGAAGGACCCCAAACACACGACAGTTCGACCGTCGATTTGGACGATGTCCACCGTGTGCCCCACAGACTGCACCGTGGGAGCAGGGACGGTGACTTACGCAAGGGTTTATAGTGCCAGTAGACTTGCGTAGCATCTACCTACACTCTCTCCTCCTCCCCCGCCTGGGCCCGGTGTCAAGGCAGAGTCAAGAAGACCGGAGACGAGGGAGGCCGCAGGTGGATGGCTCGGACGGATCCTCACCTTGGCGTTCCACCACACCCCTTGGTTCACACAACAATAACCAGGATTTCAACCAACACAACAGAGATTTGGAGGCTGGCACGGCCGAAGCCGTACCTGGGCGTGCCGCCAACGCCTGGCTCGGATCCCACACTGTGGTGGGAATGCCATAAAGGCCACATTAAAAAGGAGCCATTGCAGCCTGACTCTCAGACCGCCTCCCGTTAAGGAGGAGGTTCAAGGTATCCCGTCAGTTGGCAACCTTCCAAGCCACGGCTTTTAGCGCACCGTGATAGCTTCAAGCGCGTCAGATTAATTATAGTGAGGAAAATGCGCTGAGTCGTCGACCTCACTCTCCCTTCCCATTCCCACACCCCAGCCACTGTCCGAGCCGGTCAGTAGACTGGAGTGGGGAATGGGCGCGGTGGCTGACATGGTCGACTGACCATGCCTGCGCGCGCCACAGCACGACCTGGCCCCCCATACACACACAAACACCAGGATTTCACACAACGGGGGTAGAACGGCGTGTCTCTTACTTGCGTGAGAGTGCCGTGGAAGGTGCTGTTTAAGCCCGTCCCCAACCCACCAGTCCGCCACTACACACAACACACACACACAACGTGACGAACTGCGTGAGCCGAGAGCGGGCCTCAATCAGCAACCTTCCTATCCACGACACTTGAAGTGTCGGGATAGTCTCGGACACAAGTCACCCGTGCAGCCGAAGCCGCATGGGGACCGAGTCGAGATGCACACTTCCCACTTGCGTGGGAGGCGGCAGTTGAGTGCATGAGGTGTGTGGGGTTGATGTCTGGTGGGGTGATGGTGTTAGGAGGTAGGGAGTGAGGGAATGTGTGGTGTGACCGGCGGTTGTCTACCGCAGGTCGTCGTGGATGCGCATGTGGCCGAATAGACCCATGCGATGCGTGAAGGTGCGAGGGCAGTGGAGGCGAGTGCGGTGGGTGTAGGTTGGTGCTCCAGGCACTGGTTCGCCAGTCACTGTGCGATGGATTCGCAAGTGACCGACCAGGCCGATGCGTGAGGTGAAGGTGCGTGGACAATGTGGGCATGAGAGGTCGGCGGTGTCGGTGTCAGCTGTAGAGGAAGCAGTGGTGTTAGTGGTGGTGGTCGGCGCGTGCGACGGTGGAGCGAGGATGGGTCGGGGCGTGGTGGATGTGTTGGATGTCGTGGCTGTATCGGAATTGTGGTCAATTCCGCTCTCGTGGATGCGCATGTGGCCGAATAGACCCATGCGATGCCTGAAGGTGAGAGGGCAGTGTGGGCAGTGGAGGCGAGTGCGGTGAGTGTA